TATGTAAATATTGATTTAACTGAATATATATATATATATATATATATATATATATATATATATATATATATATATGTATATATATATTATTTATTATTAACAATTATAACAAAAAGCACATAATAAACCACTACATAAATGCCATCCTGTTTCAGATAGGTGCTTCTTCAGGCAGTGGTGGTTAACCATTGTTGCCTGCAGAAGCATGAATAGTGCTGAAACATGATTGTATTTATGTAGTGGTTTATTATGTGTTTTTGTTATAATTGCTAATAAATAATATTATTAAGTTCTATTCTGTATTGAGCACTTTTTAAAAATATAATGTTTAGACATTGGAATTAACCTACCTTACACTTGGATATACATATATATATTATAATAAAAAGAAAGAATCCGGTGTTCTTATTGATATTTTTATTTTTACAAAGCAGTGCTCAATGTAAATTTACAGAGCATAAATATTATAAAAAAGCATTAGTATTATTATTAAAAGCATCAGTTCTGTTTCATCTTCATTAGTTCTGTTTCACCTTCAAGTGAATTTTGGACTCAAAATTTGCTTGAAGATGAAACAGAACTAATACTTTGAATTTAATTATATAATTAAATTTGAAGTTTTTAGCTTCGGTTTTTGAAACATGGTAATTCCTGTCTAATGAAGAAACCATATTTTAAATCAGTTAATTTATCATATATATATATATATATATATATATATATATATATATATATATATATATATATGAATATATTTAGTTGTATGGATATGAGATTGTGACCCTGGGTTTCACACTTTTGCAATCATCAGACAAACTGGTTTATTTTTTAAAAATTGAATTTATTTATGCTCATTTGTGTTTGATTATGTTTGGTGGTGGGAATTTATGTATGTATGTCTGTGTGTGTGAGAGTGTCACCCCAAACAAACACAGAGGAGAATTTCCCTCTCTCATCACCAGACATAATCAAACACAAACAATAAACCAGTTTGTCTGATGACTACAAAAGTGTGAAACCCAGGGTCACAAACTCATATCCATACAACTGAATATTTTAGCTCTGTCACGTATATTGAGCACTCTCCTATAAATAGTGTATATATATATATATATATATATATATATATAATTATTTAAAAAAAATATGATTCCTTATAATTTAGGCTCTACTTTTGTATTGAGCACTGTTTTTTAAAAATAAAAACAAAAATACTAAAGAACTCTAGATTATTTACCTAACGTGTTCTTTCCTATTTTTCTATAAATTTGCACACACACCATATATATATATATATAGTCAGAATAAATACACTAAAGGCAAAACAGCCGGTCCAAAAGAATCAATGCATGAGTTTTGTGCAAAAGTTAACTAACACTTTTTTTTCAAACTAGCAACTGAAACCACAGTTGGAAACCAGTTTTGTATCTTGTGTTCATTTATCTTATGTTGAGAAAAAAATGGCAGTGGACAAGATAAAGGTTCCTTTCCAATGTTGAGCAAGACAAAAGCAGAAGCAATGATTAATGAAGTTTATAGAGAAAGTTCATTCTAATATAGAGGACACATGAGAACAGCTTGTGAAGTTCAAAGGGAATTTCACTTCAAGGATGAACCACACAGTGATCAACCACAAGAATTTTGTAACTTTTAACCTTTTGAGACTGATGACTCAATCAACATTAAAATTGGCTGAAAAACTCACAGAAAATAGATGCTACCATTGTTGCCATCTTTCAAAACAAAAAATTCAACACGTGGTGGATTGGTACACATATAATGGCTGGCTACTGTTTCTGAGCACCCCCATTTGCTAGAAAAACTAACCAATCTCTATTGCAGACAGCTGCTCAAGCATAGTTTTGTTTCTTTGATACCTACAGAGTCAGCCTTTGATTTATACTGCAGCTATGCTGAACAGACCTTACTTACAGTTTCTGGGAGAGTGTGCATTATCTGCCATGATCAACAGTCTACACAAGGCCAGTACGTGCAAACCCTTAGTCACGATGACTTGTGATTTCATGATGGCACAACCATTTATGACTTCCCAAATAGTTCCATCTACTTCATTTTGTTCACAAGGCTTGGATCAATCTGTGGTATGATTTTCAGGCACTTTACAAAGGTACAGCATGCTGGGATTGCCTCCCCAGGCTGATAACATTGAAAAGTTACCTTCCTGAGAAATTGACAATGGTGTGATTTGAAACCAGGTCTCATGGTCAAAATGTTAACTGATAAACTTAGTGTTATGGTAATTTACCCATGCACACATGGACTCTCTCAGCTATAAATAGGAGCAGGTACTGCCTTTAGGAGAGGGAAATTTCCAGCAGTCAACTATGATAGACAGACTGTACACTCTTGTTTGTATATGTTTGTATTACTGTTTTTAATATATTTGTTTAACTCAATTCCTCTCTTTGTGCCATTTTTTTCTGGACTAACAAGGCCACAACACTTAGTTAAGTTGAACATCAATTAACATAAATGAGATAGAAGAAAAGAAAAAAAAAAAGGAATGGAAATCCTTAGATACTCTTTTATCTGAGGGATATTCAGGTAATATAATGTGTAATGTGGTGTGTCTTTGGAAGCCCTACTTGTAGTTTGACAGGTTGCTATATTCAGTCATTATAATAATGAAGGCAATGATAAATAGGGTGTGCAGGTGGTGTAGTAAATATCAGCACAGAAAACAGAATCATCGAGTTCAAATTCAGATAAAAAAAAGGGTTAATTTTTTCCTATAAAACTAGTTTTACATGTTAATGGTTATATTAACCACTTTTAGGTGGAGTAATGGATAGTGGCTCGGATTGAGGTAAGTTTGAATTCCACTCGAATCCATTATATTCACTTATGTGCTAATACCCTTGGGAAAGGTATGAATCCTCTTCTTCTCCCACTAGGTAAATAGCAGAACAGATGGGTTCTATAGCTTTGGATGGCAACTGGTCTACCGCAGAATGAAATGGCAACCTACTGTGGGAAAAAATTTGCCTTGTCAGTCATGTATCAAAAGATACATGATCGCATGGCACATAACTGACTGAACCATTTCTGTACTAGAAATATTCAGCATTTATTGATTGAACAATTAGTATTGCTGTTGGTTGAAATTTATAAAATCTTTTTCATAAAAAAAGTTTTACAGCAAATTAAAATTTCTATGTCAACTGTATTCATTTTCTTATATTGATGGGAATTTCCTTCTTAACCTTTTGTTTAAGGTTGTGTGGAAAGTTAACAGCTTGACAATATCATTTTATCTTTTCGTTACATATGTTATCCACTTTTGTTGTTGCTACTGTTGGTAGACGTTTTGATATGAGGTAAAGTTCTTAATTTGTGATTTTGTCTGATGAAGGACCATTAAATGACTAAGCTTTAAGAGATTTCAATTGTTAAATCCATGATTTTGATATCTCAAAAGTTCTTAAAAAACACTTTCAATTTGAATTTATAAGAAAGTAAAAAAGAACATCATTAGAAACAAAGAAATGTGTACTTAACTGTTATGAAATATCTGTCCTCATGATGACAGTGAATTCTGGACAATCTCCTCAAAGATGAAGAAGAGACTTGAAGCAAAAGAAATATGGTTCTACAGAAGCATATTGAGAATACCAGGAACTGAAAATGTGAGCAACCTGAAAGCTTTAGAGAAAATTGAAACAAAAAGGTAACTTATACTTAATATCAGAAAGAAACAATTGAAATTTTTAGTATTTACATTATTTACATTGTTTGGATTGTTGTCCTCATCTTTACTGTCACTTTCACAATGTTTCAGACATTGTACACTCCGACCTTCTTCAGGTGATATTTGTTGGAATTTTGAATACTTTATTTAGTCCATGGGAGTAGATTGTTCTAATTCCATGTACCATGTCTTTGAATATCTCAGTTTTAGTTAATTTGCCTTGATAACTCTCCAAGTTTTTGTTCTTTCTGCCGAGGCCAGGAATTGAACTCCCAACTCTTTGAGTCAGATCACTTTTTAGATCAGTCAAATAATTTTATCCACTGGGGTGCGTGTGTTTTCAGAGTACATAATGATGAACAAGAACTTGAACATATTGAAGGCAAGAGGAAAGCAAGCAGAGAATAGCCTACTTAATAAACTTGAGTAAATGCTTGGCAGAACAGGGATTAGGAGAGATAGCAAAAAGGCAGACATTGCTAAGAGCTACAAAGGACAGGAAGTTGTGGTGAGTCATGATTGCTCATGTCCTGAAGCGAGCCGAGGAGGAGAATAATAATAATAATAATAATAATAATAATTCTCTTTCAAATAATAGTGAAATTAACCTCCTTGGTATTACTAGCTATGATATGGTTTAGCAAATCTTATAATCTATAACTATCACATGATCATCTAAATGATCATGTGATAGTTGTTAACACTGTGTATTGAAATACATATATCATCTAAATGATCATGTGATAGTTGTTAACACTGTGTATTGAAATACATATATTGCTCCCAATTACAGGCATATTCAGGTGCTCCCAGACTGCAAGCATGTGAAACTTGTGGGCATACTAGAGTGTCTCCAGCTTTGAAGTATTAAGATTTAGATTAAATTTATAGGATTAGTTTCTTTGATGCCATTAATCTGAGAAAACAGTTGCATACAGCTGATAGTTTATATATTTCTGAATGATTTGGACATGGCTTTTTAAGAACATGATAAGTTTTCTGACTGACTGATTAATTCATTTTCTACAGCTTATCAACCTTTTGCAGGTTATTTAAAGCCAGGAAAAACATTTTTTTTATTTTGTAAGAATTTTTTTTTTAGATAAAAATTATTTAGTGATAAAAGTTTTACTAATTAACATCTATCTGGTGGGGGAAAAGAGGTGGATTCATGCCTTTCAGAAGGGTATTTACATGTAAGTGAATATAACAAAATCAGTGGCAATTGGAACTTGGCTCTCTAATTAACAATTTTGAGCCATTATCCATTACACCACCCACACATCCAAGTTTACAGCACCTAGTATTCCCAAGTGGTCACCCATTTAGGTACTGACCAAGCTCAATGTTGCTTAAACTTTAGAGATTGTATGTGAACCAGTGTTTCAATGTGATGTAGCCACAAACCTCAAGTTTTCTGGTTAATATTTTGACTTTGTAGCATCTTACAGTGCTAGATAAAAGTACTCCTAGCACACCCTACCCAGTGTTCAATTTCTTTATCTCCTATACTGAATTTACGAGAACTAATCTATACACAGAGGTCATAATCAATTAACCCTAAGCAAAGTGACTATACACAGAGGTATTTGAAGTGATTAGAGTTTACTAATTCCAGATTCTGAATTTTTATGATGGATTCAGGGTATGTGCCATTACTATTTCATTTCAATTCCAAATCATGATTTCTGATTTGGAAAGGTTAATCTTGAGTCATGCTTATTTTTTTGGTTGTAATCAATTCAATCTAAGCAAGGTGACTATGCCACTAAGACACAAGGGCTACTGGGAGTGAAAGAGAATGAAAAGATTTTAGAAGGAAAAAGAAGTACAATCCTAAACAAGAAACAAGTGATAAACCTCTACACCTGTTGAAAAAACCAGGGAGGAGTGTGAACAGGACAACAGATGAACCTATCTGCTCCTATTGAGAAAAAAAATGGAGGAGTAGTATCCTTTGTAGCTCTTAGTAAATTCCGTCTTTTTGATATTTCTCTTAAACTCTGTTCTGCCAATCATTTACACAAGCTCGTTAGGTAGGTTATTCTCTGCTTTGCTCTGTCCTTTTGCCTTCAGTATGTTCTGTGAGTATCAAATTTTCCAAGCTCTCTTTCCTCATTATGTACCCAAGAAATTTAAACTATTTCTTTCTGATGTCAAATATAAGTGTCCTTGTTGCTTCTATTTTCTCTAAAACTTTGTCATTGCTCACATGTTCTGTCCATGGTATTCTCAGCATTCTTCTGTAGAACCACATTTCTGCTGCCAAATCTTCTTTCCTCATTACTTCCCTTAGAAATTTCAACTGCCTCTTCCTGATCTTAAGTATAGATCTCCTTTTTGTTTCCATTTTCTCCAAAACCTTGTTGCTTACATGTTCAGTCAATGGAATCATCAGCATCTTTCTTTAGAACCACATTTCTGTTACTTCAAGTCTCTTCTTCATCTTTGAGGAGATTGTCCAGCATTTGCTACCATACATGAGGACTGATATTAGGTAACATTTCAGTGTTCTTCTCTTTGTTTTTAACAAAATTTTCTTGTTTCTTATTACTCTGCCTAGCTTTTGGAAGGCATCTTTCACTATCGCAATGACTGACTCCAAAACCTTCAGGTGATAATCAGTATTACTTGACACTGAGAACATGTCTGAGCTATAAGACTGAACACAGTGCTGTCTTTTAATTAAATGTTCAGCTGTCACTGAACATGATGTAATAACAAAAGTATGCAGGCGTAGACTTTAAGAAAATATTATTCAACTGAGAATACAAGGTTTACGTATAGTATCCTTTTATAATCACAGTAAACAGAAATAGCTCTCTCAAAGAGGAGAATAACAAAACAAGGGGAGACCACTCCTGATTTTTCATAACACATGATACATTCAGTTATGTGCCATGTGTGATACACGCTTAAGCGATCATGTATTTTCAATACATGACTGATGAGGCAGATTTTTCCAACAGTAGGTTGCCATTTCTTTATGCAGTAGACCAATTGCCATCCAAGGCTACAGAACCTGGTTTGTCCTGCAATTTACCCATAACTGAGGGGAGAAGAAGAAGATTCATACCTTTCCCAAGGGTATTAGTATGTAGGGGACTGTGGGGTTGGTGATGTTGAGTAGAAGTAGAAGGACACATGTGGGGGTTAAGATTTTCCTGCTAGCCGGTCCAACTACATGAGGAAGTCGGACTTTAATTAAGTCCAAAGAAGGCAAAGAAAAACAAACACAAGACCGATAAATATATGTAAACAAATATATGTATTAATAACAAAAAAGGTTACAAGTTACATGGGCAGTTACATGGACAGAGTGTGTGTGGTGAATATTATGTTTGTATGTGTTGTGTTCAGCGTTCGTATGTACGTGTATTGTTCTTAGCATGTTCCCAGCAATTGGGAAACGCTGTATCTATGAGCACTCACATCTGCGAGATGGTAAGGCTGAAGGTCTGAAGAAAAAGAGGTCGAGGCGAAGGGTCTGCGAGTATTTATAGCCTGGGAACAGAGACCCCTGGTGAAGGGTTAAGAAGCTAAGGAGGAGCTAACTCTGACAATCATGTATGTGAATGCAATGGATTTAACTTGAATCCGAACTCGGCTCTCTGATTCCTTAATCCAAGCCGCTATCCATTACTCCACCATGCCTCCTCATGAGACATTAATGCACCTATATAAATTGCCCCCTTTCCTTTGTGAAATTTGTAAATTTCAAATATACAAAGTTTGCCATGGGTTGTAAGAAAGATATAAGCTCAAAAAAGAAGCAAGATATTGTAAAGTTATTAAGTTATGGGAGCACAACTTTGGAAATTTTGAGAAATACACATCAAAAATTAATGTTTGTCTTTTGTTCAATAATCATGTTCACTGGTAGTTTCCTCCATTTCTGAATCTGTGTCTCACAAAATTGATTGCATCAAGAAGAAACAATGAAAAGAGAAAAAAAACAGAGCAAGTCAATAAATAGTCTTTTACATGATGTATTAACAAATGAAAGTAACCACAGAGATAAAAAGATTGCGTTTTGGGCACTGATTTGTGTATCAGATTCTAGAAAAAAAAAATTACATCCAAAGGGAATAAAAGCTTTTTCCACATTTTTCAATTGTCTCTTGAAATTTAAACAATGAAAATCTTTTGTTTTTTATTTTATTAATTATCTGTATTTGGATTTTTAAATATCTGAAAATAATTTTTACCTTGAAGACCAACTTCAAATATTACAACATTTATAAAGAATAAATTGGCATCATAAAAATAATAACATTTAAGAAAACACAAGATGTTTGAGGCATTCATAAAAATTCCCTTTGCCCCAAATTTAAAATTATTTGAAAAATATTTCAGTGACATGTTTGTTTATTAGAATAAAACTGTTAAAAAATTAATTTTTTTCTGCAATAGTTTAGGAAAAAATGGACTCATTATTGTGTTAATAAAATAGCAAAACGAGAACAAAATATAAAAACTTCCATCATATGAAAAATTGGCTTTAGAATGCAAAACAATAAAATACAAAATTTAATTCTCTATAGCTTCTGTTCTGCTGACTCAGCACAAATAATGTTTGCTCTATTTTAGGAATCATTAATTCTACTTTAAAAAATATGCATTCCTGGGGAGAAAAATACAAAAAACAGAGAAGTAAACATATATTAATTCTAACAGCCCAACCAAGTAAAACCAGAAAATGCAAAATTTTAGGTTGAAAATATTTCAAACTATGAGCAAAGGGATATTTAACATGACATTAGAAGCAGACAAAAGTTGAGCTCCAAAACTGACGTTTTTATGTTGGAGAATGGATTTTAATGGGAGGGCCTGCCTTTGGGATTGTTCAATGAACCTCAGTTTTGTATGAAGTGACAAGTGCAAGCAATGGCTGTCAACATGTCAAATAAAATGTTCTACACAATGGAAGAGTAAGAAATAAACTGTAAGAAGCAAAAATAAAAAATAAAAGAAATATAGACTGAGAAACTGTTTCTAGAATTTGAAAAAAAAGAAGTTGGTTGTTGCATGTTTAAAGAGTAGCAGAGAGAGGAAGAGATTTTGTGAAAGAAGTTGGATGGTAAAAACAAAATACAAAAGGGAGACAAAATAGATGGAAAAAAAAAGAAAATGGAAATAGTGAATTATTGTATCAGAGGTGAAAGATTTTAGTTTTTATTTTCTGTTTACCAGGTGAAAACTGGGGAAGATGATTTTAAAAACAAAAAGAAAAATATTTCAATACAATCAGGGTTTTTGACACATTGACACTTATATGGATTATATTACTAACCAAGTACAATTTTATTTTACATTTTTCAAGTTAACTGTTGTTCATCATGTTTATCTGAACATGCATATGTGATGGCTAGTTGTCAGGAATTCAGGGTTGCTATGAGGGGCTACTGAAAAGGTCTGAACCTGACCAAGAAAGATATTTTAAAAATTCTCAGATGGTCAGATTTGTAGAGACGTTTTTTTTACTATTATTCATCTTATTTAAGGCCCAAGAGTCATTCAGATTGAAGTTTACTGACTAAGGTTGTTGTAGGGACATAAGAGAAGTAAGTAAGTGCATATTATGAGGATATGTAGGATAGATAATGGTTGACCTAGACTTGAAGAGGTTAAGATTATCTATCTTATATATACTCATAATCTGCACCTTACTTCTCTACAACAACCTCATTCAGTAATCCACTATCTTGAGTTGCTTTTGGTCTTTGTATTGATTGAATGATAGTATTAAAAACATCTCCTCTCTACAGCACTCTTAGTATTCTACCTGTTTTTAGTTATGCTGTCATTTGGATGGTATTAATTCTTGCCAACTCCTTGCATTGCTGTCAGAAACTGTTACAAACTTGTCAATATGGTGCTTGATATCCAACAATACTTCAATTCTTCCATCAGCTTTTTCTTTTCATTCAATTTCACTCTGCTTGAACAGTGGCAATCTCCATTTGAAAAAAAAGTTCTTTGTTCAGAATGACAAATTCCAGTCTTCTGGCTTTGATTGGATTACCTGATTGTATTTCATAGAGTTTTACTTTTTAATTCCCAAGAAGAGGTTTTGATTTGTAGATACACCATTGGCTTAAACTGCAAATCTCAATACCTTGCATAATTCCTAGTAGATCCCCATTCCCACCCAATCATGTTGATTGCTGTACGTCTTCTGAATCAATTTGCTTTATTCACTCTTTATGTGAATGAGAGTTTTATCTTTCTTTATATGTCCATTGCACCTTTTTTTTTTTTTAAATCTTACCCATAATATAATTAGTTCTAATCTGAGAGATAGTTAATTGGGGTTTGGAGTTGGGGAAATGACAATGATGATGATGATATTATTTTATTATTATTATTATGAAGTTTTTCCATCTTTTCTATTATTATTATCT